TTGGGCTTTTTTTAGTTGCGTTGTGAATCTCAGTGAATTTTTGTATTCTTTTTTTCTTGTCTATTTCAACCTTTTACGTGCGTCTTTAGGTACCCGTGAGCATTTAGTTTTATGTTTGTTCAATGGAGAATGTTGAAAAATCATGCGCTATTCTCTATGCATATTAATTCTTCCGGTTATGCACTATCAAGTGAGACTTCAATGATTATTCCTGTATAAAGCGTGACCATGTCTTTGGAAGGATTTCCGCCTACATCGTCTTCATGAAACTGAAATCTTAGCAGTCTTGATGGATAAAACTTAACTTTGTATTGTAAAATTTTGGACTCAGTGTCTTCCTGTACCATCGCCTTAGTACTACTTTTTCTTTTCTTCTTTATTGGTCTTTCTGAATAACTTACTGAATAATAAGCTTTATGTAGTCCCATTCATGCGTTAAGCAACTCATTTTCAATCTAATGTGCTTTTATTTTTATCTTGTCATCTCCTTCCAAATAATTATTGATCAATCAACTAATTGACTGTCAATCATCTTGATGAAATTAGGCTATTTCTCAAGAGTTGGTTTGTAAGGATTAGTTTTACTTTTATGAGTTTTACCACGGATTGATATCGTTGATGAGAAACATTGAAAATCAACAGGGAGTACTGGTCAGCTGCTTCATTCTAGTTTGGGAATCATCAGCAGTACGCACCCACCATCAATGTTCAAACTCAGGACCTTCCAGTTATAGAGCAGTCACAGAGCACGACGACCAACCAATGTCAACTGTGGGACATCCATCTTCATATTTGACTGGATGGACCTCACTGGTTATGACTTCTCGCTACAACTCCAGGAAACTCCGTCAATGGTTCTCTGAATGATATCAATCCGTGGTCAAACTTGTAAAAAACAAATTTAATGCCTACATAGTAAATCACGAAAATTAATCTGATGCTCACTAGTGACTTGCTACAGGATGGAGTTGCCTGAAGTTCTAGTGAGAAGTCGTGACCAGTGAAGTTCATCCGGTGAAGTGTGAGGATGGATGTCCTGCCGATGACATTGGTTGGTGGTCGTGCTAAAACACAAATAGGTAGAAATTAGAATTCATGCACCATTGGAATGAATCCCAGTGGCTGAATGGTATACGAGCTTGCCTTGTAACCGGAAGGTCCTGGGTCCGGAATTTAGTGATGGGTGCGTAATACCGATGATTCCCAAACTAGGATGAAACAGCAGCTGTCCAGTACTCCTTGCTGGTTTTCAGTGGTTCTCTAACTGATACGGCGAAGTTCAACATTAGCGTCCCAGGAGTGTGTACACTCCAATGACCTTGAACACATGCTAGTCATTGATTAACGGCACCTGTCACTACCATAGCTGAAATATCAACGCTATTCACCAACTAAGCATCTAATTTCACCCAGATTGCGTTATTGCGTATTATTTGGACAATGTGTTAATAGCTCGTTAGGGTTAGGATTAAGGTCAATATAAGTATTAGGGTTAGGGTTAGAATCAGGGTCATAATTAGCGTTAGGGTTAGGCTTATGGTTAGGATAAGGGTTGTAATTAGGGTTAGGATTAAGTTTAGGGTTTGTGTTAAATTTAGGGTTAAGGTCAGGATTAGGGATAGATTTAGAGTTGATATCTTTATTTTATTATCCACATTTCTATGATAATTAATTGTCGATCCTCTCAATGGAAACCATAGTAATTCAACCGAAGGCTTTTGGGGGAAGAGTGCACAACAGGATAAGAGAGGTAAACGATTCACAAAAAACAGCTCATCTTCAGTCACCTCAGTGAATATATGTACAGAAACTAGTCTAACTTAGCAACTGATACTCCTCATTATAACTGGGATGTATTTTTGAGTCATGTCAGGGAAAGATACCCCTGCTTAATGTGTTTTCATGCATTTTCTTGTAAATATACTTCATTTTTCAAGCAAAAGTGTTTTGTTGCCGCTGCTGAGTGGTTAATAATAGTTTTCCCCGTCGCCAAATTGTTATGTACTCGTCGCCAAATTATTGTTATGTACTAGTCGAGAATTTAATAGTCCTGACGCAAGAAGGCGGAAATCAGAAGACCACTAGGTTTGCGATGATACTTCTATTTTCCAAAACACAAGGAGAAGCAATAAGTGGTATCACACCAAAGTGTCACACAAGATTGTGAGAGTGAAATATATATGAATGTCCAGACAAGTGTGTGAACAATCAATAGACAGTCTTAACATGAATGGCTAATTATAATGAAGTGTCGATCCAAATATACATAGCGAATATAGCAGACATGTCAACAAACATATATGGATATATGTCACCAAGCAACGGACTGTCAACAAACACTCATATTATATATAATATAAGGGGAATATACATTGTTAAAGGAGACAGGTTCATCAAAGTGAAATGGTCACAGACTAAGAGAGCAAACAGAAAGAGAGATCACCAGACACACACATATATATATATATATGTGGATACATATCAAAAAGTTTCTCATTTTTATGACTGGTCGGCTCAAGTACACTCGTGCGTTCGCATCCCTTGGGACGCCATTGTTGAACTTTGCCACTGATATCCCTCCGTGATCCAACTTGTAAGAATTAGACTAGTCCAATTTCTAAGACATTTTTATTATCTTTTATAGTTTAAATTTGTAAAGGTTAGTTATGTTTTACGAGTTGATCACGGATTGATATCAGTTAGAGAACCATTGAAAACCAGGGATTACTGGGCAGCTGCTGTTTCATCCTAGTTTGGGAATCATCGGCAGTACGCACCCACTGGGATTCGAACCCAGGACCTTCTGGTTACAAGGCAAGCTGACTCGTGTACCATTCAGCCACTGGGACCTGATTCAATGGCTCGTAAATTCTAACGTCTACCAATTCGTGATTAAGCGCGACCCCAACAATTGTCGTTGGTGGGACATCCATTCACACACGTGACATCTAATTGGACCTCATTGGTCACGACTTCTCACTGGAACTCAGGAAACTCCAACCTGTAGCAAGTCACTAGCGAGTATCAGATTAATTTTCTATAGTTTGGTTTGTAAGGGTTAGTTATGTTTTTGTGAGTTGACCACGGATTGATATCAGTTACAGAACCATTGGAACAGCTGTCCAGTACTCCCTGGTTTTCAATGCTTCTCTAACTGATATCAATCCGTGATCAACTCGTAAAAACATTTTTATTACTCATGTACTTGGATCTGCTTTGTTACCAACTGATAGTAGCCTTTAACTTGTTTTAAATATCACATAATAATATCTTATGTGTAATGGAATTACATTCGACTAAAGTGTCCAAGTTTTACAATTACACTTACCTTTGACTTCTACTGTTAATCTGCATAGCATATATAAATATCCTAATTGCAAAATCGCCAAAAATGGATTCTTACCCAGATTCAGAGATGAGAATCTAAAACCAAAGAAAACACCTGAAAAGGTCCAAGTCGTCCCCCCCGCCCCCCCAAAAGAAGATGCTGATATTGAACCTCGAATTTAAAGGTGATACCGAAGCAGGAATTCCCCTTAGCAAGGCTTTCGAAGTCTCTCAGCAAAACAGATTTCGCCTCGAGCCTACAGATTACATTCTCCGCACGTGAAAAACAAGCTGTCGCATTGGGCCACTTCAACATGCATATACAAGTTCACTTGCTGGTATGGGGCCGAGTACATTGGCTGTACCATGCATCCGCTTGTAAAACGCGCATGGGAATACTATCCAGCATAGTTAGGAAAAGCAGAACACCAAAGGGCTATACAGTCCGATAACAGAACATCTGGTGAATTCTGGACATTCAACTCCGTCTGGACAATATCCGACCCGACCTACCAAAGGGAGTAAAATCAAGACATCTGGGAATAGCTGAGACGCTGGCGATCCAAAAACTCAAGTCCACTACTCTATGTGTCCAAAAGAAATACATCCAACCGTTGTCTCTACCGTGGCCATCCTGAAAAGTTAGTCCCCCCCCCTCCAATAATGATTATCCTATTACCCTTCTTGTCCAACTTTCCTGTTTATTTGTTATATTTAACTTTTTAAATCCCTATCTGCATTATCTTACCCATTTCGTTAATACTACGTACTTAACCCGTAATTATACAAACTGACGGGTTTTCCAGTAATTATAATCCTTTTTTGTCTTTCCTACCCGATCTTCCTGATTACTGCACATTGTAACTTTTAATCTGACCTTTGACTACATTCCTACAGGAGGCCGATCGCGAGTCTGAATAGCTCAGTGGTAACGTCTCTGACTGCAGCATTGGATGACGCGGGTTCGAATCTTAGAAGGGACGTGAGTTCCTTCAAGGTTGCAGATACGCTTTGCTGGCCGGTGAGTGCCAACTAGCGCGAAACCTAGGTCAAGTAGGGTTTCCTGCTGATTGCCTCCAACCATCTTATATCATCAAACCTGAAATATTTCTAAAATAGTGCCACTACCTGTCTTCTATTTATTACAATTCTTAATTTTATTTAATTTGACCTTTGACCGCTAAAAGCAATTCTGCAACTTCTCAATCCACTTAACATGAATACGCGAACGTCAAGCTCTCTAGCTGATGACTTTTCTTCACTATAACCGTCTTTTTAATATTTCCTATGATCTAGGTGTGTATATTCCGCGACAATGAACTATGTCATCTGGGGTCTTCGATATTACTCAAGAAATGTTTTCATTGAGAGTTTATTTTTACAGGTTTCCGCTGGGAATAGCTTTCCTTCTAATTGTCACTAATGCGTACATTTGTTAGCCCAAAATGAATAAATGCCAATTAAAACAAGCCGTTAATGCATCCATCTTGGTAATAAAGCCTAATTTATTATTTTCAAAATATTAATTTAGCGTTAAGAAAAGATAACAAACAAACAAAATTAAGAAATATTAACTAATAGCAGCATAGATTGTTCAATTTTCAATTGTCATTCAATAGTTCAACTGGTAAATAATAGTACTTTGTTTGATTTTGTTCATTTTGTTTCATTTTTTACCATACTAAGGATGTATGACATAGACCATATAAAAAGCCAGGTAAATCTTCTGGGAGATTAATATTTCGTATTTCTGTTGGCGTTGATAAATGAAGGTTGCGCAAACAACCACGGAACATTTCACCATTATAACTGTAGGCCGCTTTACGCATTTTATCCGGTGTTAAAACTGTAATAATAAATAAGAGATTTTGAAAGTAAATTAATGAAATTATATAGAGCAAGAGCAATCTCTTCTGATGAATGTCTTAATGAAGAATGAGCTTAATATTATTAAACAGTTGCTGGCCAAGTTAAACTTTAATCACCACTAACTACCAATCAGCGAACGACTTCGAATTATCCAATGAGATTCACGAACGTTAGTTCAATGTTGTATAGCGCTTGATTCATTTAAAATGCGTGCGCTCACAAGGTTACGTTGCGATTCGAGGAGGATAGTGTTCTCCAGTATTGCCTGGATTTAGGGTTGCCACGGAAGGAGCGAACTTGTTCGTGTGGTGGTGTCGTGACTTTAAAAAGCTTTAGCAGCTCAACTAATGGATTTGTTCATCGTTGTGCAATATGCTTGAAGCGAGTTAGCATTAGAGAGGGTAAGCTGATAGTTTTAATATTTCGTAGGAACGTTTTTGCAAGGTCACACCTCTCCTTGACGCAAATTTTGTATTTCTGCAACTACTGGGTCCTGGGACAGCCAGTGAGAGCTGCAGCTGCTGGGACGGAGAATAGCCTAGTCTAAACAGTTCAGTGGTATCAGCATGGCAGAGGTATTTTTTCGTGGAAAACGGAGAAAATCACTTTGTTGTTGGGTGTAGAAGACGTTGTTTTGCACGTCGATGAAACTATGTTAGTGAAAGAGAAATACAACCGTGTTCTGTAGCGAGCGAACCATATTTGGGTAATAGGTTTGTATGACACCTCCCTCCGAAAGGGATTCGTCGAAAGGATGGCAGAGAGAAAAGCAACTACTTTGATACCTATTATAACGAGACTTGTTAAGCAGGGGTCAATTATACACACGGACGAGTGGGAGGGTTATAATTCGCTGCCATCTCTGGGGTATATTCATCATACAGTGAACCATTCAAGTGATTTAATGGATCCCGTTACGAGGACACATACAAATTTAGTTGAAGGATTTCGGGGGAGGTTGAAAAATAGGATAAGGGCTATAAATGGATCTCGAAAGAATCTCATTTATAGTCATTTAGATGAATATATGTACAGAATGTAGTGTAAATTTTCTATTGACAGTCCGATACTTAACTGGGAGATATTTCTCTCACATGTTAGGGAAAGATACCCCCTGTAACAGTTTTATGCTTTTTTTCTATAAATATACGTTTCCATTTATCATAAATGGCTCTTTAATGTGATTGGTCTGTTCAAGGTCGTTTGCTGATTGGTTGTTAGTGGTGTCGAAAGTTTAAATTTGCCCAGTTGCTGAATGAAAAAAGTTATTCAGAAAAATTCATCGATAAGAATATGAATCAGAAATCAAGGCCTCATTCTTACTATTTCAGTTTCTTGGGGATAACATCAGCGAGATATTAACAGAACGTCTTAGGAATGTGGTAAAAAGAGCATTCCATGCTGCTGAATTACGTAGGCTGTGTTTTCGAAACAACCTCTATTTTGCGTTCGGGAGTAAAAGATAAACAGCCTATTTCGCCTCTTCTACGTGTATCTACCAATTTAACTGCCCCTGTGGAGCCAATTATTTATATAGACCGTACAATTAGGTGTGTTTCTCGTCAGATTTCTGAACATCATCTTGCGTGAGTGGTTAAGTAAAGGACAAACAAAATCCATTCACATAACGCTATTCTATCTCGTCTTATGGATACAGAACACAAGATTGATGATGTTAACGAGGCAGCTTTCAAAGTCACCTACTGCATACCAACAAATCTTAACTTCGCCTTAAGAGTTCATCTAATACATGTTGCTGAGACTGGCTGTTGGGATGCACATAACGAGAACCACAGAAATTGAAAACACAGTAGAAGGCGAAATAAAAGACAATTTAGCGAAGAGAATTTCTTTTTCTTTTATCGACGAAGTCATCTTCAAATACATGACACGAATTCTAACATCGAAATAATAACGAAGGAGTTCAACAACTGTCATCATTATATCGAGTTCACATGGGAATCATAGATGAACTTGGCATTCCCTTTTTGTGTGTGGATATTTTGTTTAAAAGGTGATTTGACGGTTGTCTCTTAAGAGATCAATCTACTGAAAACCGATATGGCATAGTCAGTACACGAATTTTCATAGTTGAATCCCTTTGAGGAGGAAGAGAAATTTGATCCACTCCTTATCTTCAAAAATAAGAAGGATATACACCAGTGATACACTCGATGGGGGACTAGAGAGAATCAAACAAGTCCTCATGGTGAATGGATATCCTCCACGATTTATCGAGGAAACATGAAAGTAAATCCAAACCCCTCAAGGAACTCAGGTGTTGTCATCGAAGAAACTGCTATTTACTGGTGTTGAATTCAAGGATAATATCACAGCTGAGATTCTGAAGAACCACTTATCCAGATTACTGAGAAAATCCTTCTTCTCGGCTGGGCTACAGGTCATTTTCTACAATCGACAAATGATGAATGTGTGGATGATAAACTACCGCCTTGGATCACTTCAGTGAGTGTTTATAAATCCACCTGCTCCTGCAGAGCTAGTTATATTGGCCACACAGTTTGGCGTACACTTTCCGAATGTATCTCTGAACATTATCCAGCATGGTTATTTAGAGGACAATGCAAAACAATTACTAATTCAATTCTCGAGCAGTTGGTGAACTCAGGTTGTAGAGCTCCTCCAGAGTCGTCTTTTAGGGTTATCTACAGGGTGAGACCGAATGCTACAAAGGGGGTGTTAGGTTTCGGCATTTCTGTATGTCTGAGGTGTTGGCGATTAATAGGAGAAAATCTGACCTATGTGTGCAAAAGAAGCATATTCATCCCATTTGTTTACTCTGGCCTACTAAAAGGTCAGCAGGGGCATAATCATCTTGTATTTTCATGTCACATCATGCCTTTCTTATTCCTCGTCACCTTTACTTTACGACACTATTACCTTTATTTTGTGGTAATTATTTCCTTCCACACCAGGGAATATAACTCACTACCTCCACCCCCCCCCAATGAAACTTATATTCTGTCGACCAAAAAACATTACTATGACACCCTTTTGTCTATTCACACTTTGGATGGAGGATTTCATCATGAGCTGACATCAGTTAGAGAACTATTGGAAAACCAGCCACAGGGAGTATTGAACAGCTGTTTCCTCCTAGTTTGGGACTCTTCATCAGTACTCACCCACTCGGGTTCGAACCCAGGACTTTCTGGTTACAAGGTGAGCAGCTCGTAGACCATTGATCCACTGGGACCCGATCCAATGTTCTGAATGATTGCACATTTTTTATATACGTTTATCTGACAATATTAAATACCAAACTATCACTCCGTATTATACATTTACTCTACTACGGACAGTTTCCAATATAATTTTCACATACCTTTAATGGCTGTTTGTATCATAATACTCATGGATTTATAATTGTGTAGAGTCTGAGGAAGAATTTACCAAAACCACAATTTTTCACTCAAAATCACGTTGTTTTATTAATTAATTCACTATCATCACTCTCACATGTTCCATTTGTACATTTTCTAACCTTCTTCACACTTGTTAAATGGGTATTTAACTAGTGCCTTTCTTCTCACTCAAAGACAATTTTAACCTTTTCAAATTTCCATTCTTTCTTTGTACCACTGAGTACATTACGTAATGTGTAGCTTTTATTTTTATTTTTGATGTCACTTCTGAGTAATTAAACCAGTTATGTCAACCCCACCACCCCTGTTACCCAGTGATGGGCTTATATTATTATTATTGTTCCCTTGGGTTCCTAGTGGAACATAGGGCTTCAACTGCGCGTCTCCACATACTTCTGTCTTCTGCTGTACTTTTTACCTGCATCGACGTTAGTCCATACTGTTTCAACTCCTCTTTACACGATCTCCTCCAAGTCACCCAATGATGGACTACTATATATTTTTGGTTGAGCTCTTCAGAGGTAGTCGGCTATGACCTCAAAAGGGATCCAGTCTAGGATCATTAGATTACAAGTCAAAGTTGCTGACCACTGAGTTACTGGGACAAAATCCTATGACAAGCATATGTTAATTCGCCACATATAATGTGCCTGCTGGCCATTGTCATCACTGTCAGCATCTATCCTGACAAACAACTTGGTGAACTTCTCTGTTCACGAATTTCCACGAGGTTTTCAGACAAATTCATCCTGTATTTGATCACTGAGGCTGTAAAAACAGATACTCATTAAATATATTGGCTGGCAGTTGCACTACATATCATGAATTAGAAGGAGTCAGAACTGACAAGCCATGGAATTCCATCTTAATCGAAGAGCGCTCAACGAGTTCGCCATTTAGCTGGGAGGTCCTTGGTTAGATCTCTGATGGTTGAGTAATATGTGAGTACTACTGAAGAACTTGTTCAGTACTCCTAATTGAAGTCATTTCATGATCGACCTTGGAATCCATCCATTCTCCGTAAACTAACACTCGAAAATATCTCTGATTGTTGGGAGTTATCAGTAAATTCTCTGTTGGATGTTTCGTCCTATTTGGGACTCATCAAACATGTTATTCATGCATATAAGTGAATAATGGTATCCTGAACTAAGACTTTCAAATATAACACTTATTTTTTTAAATGCCAACATCTTATCCATTAGGCTACTTAGCCAGAAAAACCATCTCTTGTTCAACAGATAATAGTTACTATTCATGGAAACTTTTTAACTGCCAGTTGAGTAATTCTGTTTGATTTCTACTGATATGTCAATCTCAGGATTATAGTTTCATGAGTTGTTGTTTAGCCTCATCATTAGCTAATGATGGTATTGATTTTCTCCTTTGTTTTTCCGCCTATCCTACAACTCCAATCCCCAAACCCGCCTAGCTTGTAAATATCACAATGCGTAAAAGTTGACGACGGCCTGAAATGTACATTATGATAGGATTGCCTAACTCAACACTTGAAGTATGTTATTTTCATGCATTCACTGAGAAAAATTGTAACTTCAGGTAGTCTGCAACTAATGAGAATCTATGAAATAAAGTCATGATATCCTTTTGTACTGAAAGGTTTGCTTTCTCTTGTTTTGTCGAGATCCAGTTAGCGGAATCACTTGCGTCTGATATTTTCTGGTTATATTATGTGCACTATTTCCTTCATTTCTGAGAGAAACTTGGGACTTCAGCATCCTGTATCCTCCCTGTTCCACTCTGTTCTCTATCATCTTGTGTAGATGGATTCACGATTGCTGATATTGCTGTTTTCTTCTCTTCGCACCATCTCTACCATATCACCCTCACGTCTACACCCAGACCGTCGCTTCCTACTTAGGTTCTACTCGATGGCTTGCTGCATGATGTCACCTAACAGTCTCCTTACTGTGTGTCCAAACCACCGTAATCATCTTCAGTTCTTTTGTTGGGTAGTAGGTTGTTGGAGGGTTAGTTTGCATAGCCCCTGGTTGTTCATCCTTTCTGGTCGTTTCGCCTCAGAAGGCAAAGAAGGTAAGGGCTGATTCAAATAAGCGATATTATTACTATTATTCCCTTGGGTTCAGAGTCGAACATAGGGCTTCAACAACACATCTCCATTTTTTCTCTTTTCTGCTGTCCTCTTCAGCTGGGTCCACGACTGCTGGTAATCTCTCATCTTGCCCTCGTAACACGATCTCCTTCATGTCACCCTCGCATAGATGACCCACTCGTCGCTTCTCAGGGGGATTGCACTCTAGCCATGGTTTGTATTACGCGCGATGTCATTCGATGCCCCCTCAACGATTGCCTGATCCATCTCGATTTTCTACTGCATAGTTGTTGAGCAATTGGTCCTAGTCTTTTGGTTTGTTCCACTGCAGAGCTTCTTGTTGCTAATTCTTTCTGGTCAGCCAGCTGGTCAGCTGACCATTTGATCTATGGAAACAGTGAAGGCAGCGGTTGATAAGTCTTCAGTGGCCTGCTGTAAATACTTTTAATAATGCACTGGCCAGTTTTCTGACCCATACAAAAGAACCAACTGACTGAATCTTGTCCTTTATGCTGAGTCAGTGCAGAAGATTTCCAAACTCGTTTTAGGTTGATGAAGGCGTATGTTGCCTTTCCGACCATGGCTGGCTGGCCTTGACATCATAAAATCCGCCTGTAGTTGAGGCAATGCTGGCTGTCTAGATAATAGAAGGAAGCAAACTCTGTCAAGTCTCTCCTGTTGATGGTGATTGGTGATGGTTGTTGTGGCTGTCGCTGTCACCTCGGTCTTCTCTATGTTCACCTGCAGTTCTGTCTTCGCTGTCTGCGATTTCAGCAAGTTTGTTACTTTTCGCCTGTAATTCTTCGAGTTTGTGTGACATTAGACATGTATCATCTGAGAAATCCAGATCTCCTAGAGTCTTCTAATTGGTTGTCCAACGAATTCTTCTCTACTCATTCCCATTGTACAGTCTGATGCATAATCCAGTCCACCACAATGAAGAACATCATCGGTGATAATAGGCAGCCAGCTTACCTTACTCCTGCATTCACTTCGAACGCCTAGGTGAGTTTTCTATTATGGATCACCTGATACATGGCATTGTCATATAGCCGGCTGTTGAATGAGGTTGTTAAAGACTTGGGCACTGCAAGCCATAGTGTTGGAGTAACTTCCAAATTACTTCTCGGTCAACGCAGATTTGCACATGGATTTAGAAATAAAGCAGATATGTCTTCCTTTTCCGATTGCAGATGAGCTGGCATATTTAGATAATTACCAGAAATTAGCTAGTTACAACTGATTCACTGGGTTGACCGTCGAACGGCATAGCATGCCAGGCGATAGCTCAAGTAGAACCCGAATGGGAAACGACGAATGGATCATCCAAGGGTGATCTAAAGGAGATGGCCCGAGAAGGGGATGAGAGACTATGTGCAATCGTGGGTCCAATTACAGAGGACATCAGCAAAATAGAACAAAGTAGAGGTGTGCTGTTGAAGTCTTATGTTCCTTTTTGGAACTCAAGGGAACAATAGCACTCGCTAGGTACCGGGCCGTGAGTCACACTCAGTTTATGAGGACCCAATAGTATTTATCAGCTCGCATAGGCTGAAATAGGTCGAAAGAGATTTAGACCCAAAACCTCTTGGCTAGAAATGAAGCGTTTAAGCCAATCAACCATGTCTTCACGTCAACGATAGGATGCACAGTCAATCCTGTTGCTTAATGAGGCACGACCATGAAGTTTTTACCATAATTTTGACCAAAAAGTTTATTTTCATATGGGAACAGAACTACATTCTGATATCTATTGGTTAAAGTTCATTTGTCTCCTATATTGATCTTTCAAATTATCTTAGATTGATAGTTTGTTACATGTCCAATATTCTATAGTTAAATAAACCTATGATACAAATGTTGAATGACAATTTTTAAATTTTGGATTATGAGGTGTCTCTGTAGGAGTTTGGAGTAATTTCAGCAGTTAGATTTCTTCACGACCCAACCAGCATCAGTTAAACAATCAAGGAAAACATCACATCACACTGGAGATCCATTTCCTCCTAGGTTGAAACTCTTCCACGACCTAACCAGGAACCAAACCCACAGCCTTTAGCTTACCACACAAACCTCGATAGCTGTTTAACCACTCAGGCAGAAATTTCAATGACCAGAAAGTTCTAACTCCCAGAAGAATGGACACTGAACAAAGAATACCCTTTCCGATAACTTCATCATCAGGCTCTACCGTTATGTATACATTATAGTGAATGAATGAATTAGTGTTATGAACAACATTAATGCTGTTTAAATAACATCGAATCAGTAATATCAATAGATTACACTTCAGTAGCATCAACATAGCAATAAACTGATCGTCAGAAAAATTAGGAAAGGAAATAATACAAATTCATGAACCTATAGTCTCTACTGAAGACCGGCCAGGGTAGTAGTAGTGGCTGCCTGGACTTGCTACTTTTGCACATAAAGCACTGGTTGTTTCACGTGAATTGCAATAGCCTTCGCTGTTTGGAGTATGAGGTGCTTCGATGTTTTTGGTAATTTATTCGGCACCCGGTAGATGATAGAGAAGGATTCTTCAATGCTGGTGGTCTAATATCGAACTATTGATGGTTTTTACTACACCTTTACTTAGCCATACTGGAAGATGTTCTCGAGCACCAAAAATCAAGTTGCTAGAGCAACGGTAGATGTAACTCGCTCCACCACAAGCGCAGTAGAATTAGTAGATACAATTTGAAGTGGCCAGTCTAATCTAGGTACTTCATCTTTCAACCGAGTAATCACCATCGGTTGTGTAGAGAATACGACCTACAGTTTAAAAAGTTCTTTGAACTGATTTTCTGAATTTCTTCTTAATTATTTCGCTTAGTATATTACCCTTGAATTGTAGTCGTATGTATAAAGGCTTCTTTTTTTACGGATAGTAAGTAATCCTTTCCCTCTTTCTTGGTCATGTGTTTCTTGATAAATTTGTCGGGATAGCTATTTTCGATCAAAGTATCATATACAATGCTTAATTCATCTTCAATTACTTCTTCTGAGCATATAGCTCTAACTTTATGGTTGGGGGTCTTTACTAAATTTCTTTTGTACTTGAGAGGAACGAAGCTGTGAAAATGTGTATATTGTCCTGTTCATTTACTTTTTCTATGCAAATTTCTTTTTGTGCTACCATCTGGTTTTCTTGTAAGAAGGACATCCAGGAATTTCATAGCAGAATGTACTTCATTGAATTCAGTTATCATTGTGTTCCTATCCGAATCATTATCACAAAGAATAAAGATGTCTTCCATATACCGGCAGTAAAATCAGAACTTTCAGATAAGATTGTTCAAAGGTCCATTTTCCAGCATACTTAGAAAGAAATCAGCCAAAATGGAACCCAATGGGGAGCCCATAGCCACCCCGTCCACTTATCTGTAAGGTGTGCCGTCAAATTTGAAATTTACCTTAATAACAATTCTTTTAGGATTTCTAATTCCTCCAACCAGGAGCACTGATGCGTATCCACTTCACCTTGACATGGTAGATTACAATTGGCACTGAGTAGACACACAGAAGTCAGATTTAACTGACTGGGGAATATTTCCGCCAAGTGATCAACTGGCTACAGTGTTGTGACTGACGACTCATTCTTGTCAACATTTTAGACTCAAACCAACAAAAACACTAATGAATAGTAATCAATGGACCACACTACTTAGTAATTTGATTACATAGATTAAACGAACAATTAGTCGTCTATTACATCACAATATTACACAGTCAATTAACACTGTTACAATTAATTATATCTTACCGGCATTTCGTCCAAGATGAATTGATTTTAAACGATCAGCTTTATTGAATGGTGCCAGTCGATCACTAATTGACGTTTGAGATTTTAACTGGAATATTGGACGTCGATTGATAAAAGTGATATCAAGCTTTGTAAAATGCCAAATATTTTGATTATGTCCTATATTGGCTAAATTCACTTCATGATTCAACTCGAGTTCATCGTCTGTCTCAGTGTAATAGCCCATTTTCACCTAGAATAATAAAAAAGTTCAAAGAGTTTAGGGTGGAAATTATGCATAATAATAATGATTACTATTATTGTTCCCTTGGGTTCCTAGTGGAACATAGGGCTTCAACTGAACGTCTCCACTTGCTTCTGTCTTCCTTCTGTTTTACTTTTCATCTGCATCCATGTTAGTCCATACTGTTTGAACTCCTCTTCACACGATCTCCTCCATGTCACCCTTGCACTGACGCCCTTCCGGGTTCCACTCGAGGGCCTGAGGCGCCCGCGATGTCACCTAGCGACCTCTTCAGCGAGTGTCCAATCCATCTCCACTTTCTCCTGCATATTTGTTGGGCGATTGCTTCTTGTTTTGTTTGTTCCCATAGTTTCTTATTGGTGATTCTTTCCGGCCCGGCCATCTGATCTTCAGTATAGAGCGAAGGCAGTTGTTGGTTGATGAAGGTTTGCATCAGGCTGTTGGAAATATTCTTTGTGACCCACCCGCCAAGTTTCTGGTCCGTATAGAAGAACTGACTGACTTGACGTTTGTATTGAAAGTCCGACTGAATTTTGTTGTTGACGCTGAGTGACGAAGTTTTCCAGATTGGTTTCAGGTTGATGAATGTGTTTCTCGCCTTCCCGATTCTCGCTCGATTCTACATCCTCGTCCGTTCCAACTGGCTGTGGTTGAGACAATGCTCCCTAGATAAGTGAATGAACTAACTAATCTCTTTCAAATCCTTCCCGTTGGTGGTGATTAGCTCTGGATGTTGCTGTTGTTGTTGGCTGGTTATTTTCAAAACCTCCGTCTTGTCTATGTTCACCTGGAGTCCTGTCTTCACTACCTGCTTCTTCGACCAGTTTGTCGGTCGGTTTTCGCTTGTAAGTCTTCGATTTTGTGTGACATCATCAAACATAAATCATCCACGCGCGAAATCCAGGTCTTCTAGGTTCTTTGCGTCGGTCCAGGGTATTCCTGTCTTCTCCTTTCCCACTGTCTGACGCATAATCCAGTCCACCATAATTAGGAATATCATTGGTGATAGTAAGCACCCTTGTCTGACTCCTGTGTTTACTCCAAACGCCTTGCTGAGTTTTCCGTTGTGGATGACTTGACATGTATTGCCGTTGTCGTACAGCTGTTGAATAAGTTTGATGAATATTTGGGGTACGCCATAGTACTCGAGTAGTTTCCAAATTATTTCCCGGTCAATGCTGTCTATCGAAGGCCTTCTCAAAGTCTATAAAGTTGAGGTAGGGGTTTGATTGCCATTCCATGCTTTGTTCTGTAATGATGATGCGTAGAGTTGAAATTCGGTCAGAACAAGCGTATATTTTCATTGTAGTCTGTTGGTTTCCTGTTGCCATTTTCAACCCGCTTTACAACTTCTCAAAAGGTTTCTTTTCCTTCCCACATAATCTTCTCCACGTTAGTCTTGGATTCCCAACTCGCCAGTTCCTATCAGCTTGAGATTCGAAGGTGTTGTCTGTTATTCAACTGTTTTCTTAGCACATATCCGATCCAATTTCAATTCTTTGTAATAATCTGTTAGGCACTAGGTCATCGCCTGCTGATTCGTTGTTAGAATTCATTTCTGACAGTTTAGGTCTTCACCATCAAGCGAAACCAGCTTTGATTAAAAGTCTTCAGCTTACTATCAATGCTTTTCATGACGTGCGAATCAAGTTTCTGAACCAGTCGGAGGCACGGATGAACTGATATTATTTTATATTGTTACTGTGGACCACTTGGGTCCCGAGTGGAACATAGAGCTTCGCCAGAGCATCTCCTTTCTAACCTAATCCTATGTCAGCTAACATTGTTCGTCAAGGAAGGCGATGGCTAGAGATGCATGCGTAACATATGTCCTAGACATCCCAGTCGATGTAGCTTCACAGTTTTATCGACTCACCTTCCCTCCTTATCTAACACTTGATGATTAATCTTAATATCACCCACCATATTATATCACTTTACATGGTAAAATGGAACCTAACCATAGCATATATATATATATATATATATATATATGCGTCGGTAGCACAGATGTAGGAAGCTCGCCGACAATGCAAGTGGTCCGGAGTTCGACCCCGGGCCGAAGCAATCCTTTACCTCGCTAAGCCAGTAGTAAGACTGGTAAAGAGGGAAGGCTGGGCATGAGGCTATAGGAACTTCAAGTCCCTAGCTTGAAGCCCTATGTTCCACTGGGAACGTTAAAGAATTATATATATAAACATATGCCTTTCACTAAAATTTATAACGGCATATACTTACTTCATTATTTGAAAGGAATAGCCATAGATGAATTTCTTCACTGGGTGTATCAGTCGCCCCACCGAAAGTCAGTACAAATAAACTGGCTTGTTTTATTGTATTACGATCATAGAAGAAACTAAAGTCGAATGTGAATTTATCAAGTCCAGGTTGTGTGAATGTTGATGGTACTATGAAATAAAAGAAAACACAAAAGGAATAAATATATGATGACTTCACTTCATCAACTATCAAGTGATATCTACGTTAGTTCAATCTATTTTCTGTCCATCTGTCTGGTTATCTATCTCCTAACGTATTAGGTCGACGACATAATTTAAGTTTACTTTCTCCTTTACAGCTGGGTGTATCGGTCAAATCATGCGTATGTATGCAAAATGTGCTCATGCTAAAGCTGATTAGCAAAGGCTACAATAAAAGTCTGTCTTTACTTGGATAACAGGACAGTTAATGAATTGATGACACTAAACTCTGTTTGCGAAATTCTTCAAAAGTCAATACAAGATGAGATCAAGCATTACAAATAGAATGATATCAAGATGTCCAGAAACAGCTGAAGCATTCGAGATAAGAAATTTCAAGCTGTTAATATGTGTTCACAAAAAAGATGTTCTACCTTTGCCTTCGCCCTGACTATTTTTAAATAATCAACAATGCCCAACATTACATCAACTTTACTCCACTTCCTCGACGCTTATCTGAGAAGACATCTCTCTGAAAAGGTCCATAGATAAAATACCTACATGGAATGGACAATTCATCAATTTTCAAAGCTTCGTATGCCTAAGCAGAAAGAGGAATTTTATATACGCTCTTCCCTTGAGGTTTCTGAAGACGAATAGTGAGGACGTGATTGACAAAGAACTGCGTAATCACTGAGGTGCCTTGATGGAAAATGGTTTTCCGTCCAGATCGATAGACAAGAACCTAAAATCAAAGAAGACTTCTGAACAAGTCCAATCCGTTTCGATGAAGAGGCTTCTGTTTAATCTAGAATTCAAAGCTGACAATGAAGCAGAAATCCTTCGGAAATGCCACTTCAAATCTCTGAGGAAAACATACTTATCTGCAAGCCTACAAATGATGTTCTCCTGCAAGAAACTATTCAGCCAGAACGCAGAAGACAAGCTGTCACATTGGGTCACTTCATCGTGCATATACAAGTTTACTTTCTCGTGAGGAGCTAAGTACATCGGTCGTACTATGTGACAACTTGAAAAAACGCGCTCGTGAACACTATTCAGCCTAGTTAGTAAAAGAAGGACGAAAATGTGTATATAGTTCAGTGACAGAACATCTGGTCAGCTAAGAACATTCAGCGCCATTCGAAAAATCGTTCAAAATCATATACAAGATTCAATCAAACCTATTGAAGGGGGTAAAATCAAGACATCTGGACATAGTCGAGGCCATAGCTATCCAACTAACTAAAACTCACTCTATGTATCCATGAGAAATACGTTCAACCCTTGCCTCTGCCGTGGCCGTCTTAATCAGGTAATTATTTTAATAGTGACTATCCCATTGACTTTCTTATCCAAACTTCCTGTTTATTCATGTTATTTTATTATTTTTACATATTTAATACCTAAATGCAATAAAAATTATTTGTTACACTAGTTACCATCCAACTAGATTTTTTTCCAACGATCCTGTCTGTTTTGTTATTTCTACATTTCTACCCCTTAATTGCTTTCATTTCTCTCAAGTCTGTTTGGAGGTCAGCAGCACTCAGCGTGAAAAACAAGATGTAGATTTTCAACTGCAATGTGAAGTTAGTGCTACTATGCGGATTAGAGACTTGGTGCGTCACGTAGGCCACTTCGAACAAACTACAGACTTTCATCAGCAGTTGTCTTCGCTCATTACTCAAGATCAGATGGCTGGCCAGAAAAAAAATCAACAACGGGGATCTCTGGCAAAGAGCAAAATAACCCAACAGGAACCAATTGTGCAACAAACCTGCAGGAAGAAATGGAAGTGGATTGACCATACTCTGAGAAAACCATCAAGTGGCATCACTAGACAGGCTGTCGAGTGGAACCCGGACGGGAAGCGGCGAGTTGGTCGTCACTGTCAGAGTGACTTGGAGTAGGTCATGTGAAGAGGAGATGAAAGCATGTGGGCAGATGTGGAGCCAGGTGAAACGTTGGCAGAGAACCGAACACAATGCAGACATGTGGCTGAAGCCCTATGTTCCTCCAGGAACTAAAGAAAACAATAATAATAATGATAATAATTGCACAATATGTCACTCTCCTCAGTAATTTTGAGATGACGCTACTTTGTTTGAGTTTTATCCGCCCCCCTGTATTTATTATAGCACCTGGAGAAACTGAAACCATTCAGAATAGATTATAGCACATAAACCAACACAGTCATCTGCTTGGATACCATGCAGACTGAAAGACCCACTCCAAAGCAAAAGAAGGCAAAACAGTATCAACACCATCTACCATCAATTGTGAAAAACGGTCTATTGGGCAAAATCGGTGTCTGCTTAGATTAAGAATCCAAGATCATAAACTAGTAGTCAAAAGAAAGAGCATGCATCGGTTCGACGACTATGAACACCATTTCCACTCGGAGAAAGTGTAGGAATTTTATACAATGAAAACATTAAAAATGCCAGAAAATTCCTAGTAGTCTGCTACTAAGATAAATCAGAGATTAACAAACAAATCATCATTGTTTTACCAGTTTGACAATGGGTTGATATCAGTCAAAGAACCATTGAAAACCATGGAGTACTGGAAAGCTAGCTGTTTCATTCTAGTTTAGGAGTCATCAGCAGCACGTACCCACCACCAAGGCTCGAACCCACGGCCTTCCGGTTGCAAGGCAAGCTATCTAGTTGAACATTCACCCACTGGTACCCGACTCCTCAATGACCAGCCCATGACCACTAATTCATAATTTAGCGTGACCACCAACCAGTGTCATCTGTGGGACATCCATCCTCACACTTGACTGGTTGGACCCCACTGGTCACGACTTCTCACTAGAACTCCAGGAAACTCCATCCTGGTCAATCTCGTAAAAAAAATTTAGTGCTTACATACCAAATCTTGAAAATTAATCTGATGCTTGCTAGTGACTTGCTACAGTGTGGAACTGCCTGGAGTCCTAGTGAGAAGTCATGACCAGTGAGGTACATCCACTCAAGTGTGAGGATGGATATCCTGTCGATGACATTGGTTGGTGATCACGTTAAAACATGAATTGGTGGAAGTTAGAATTCATGGGCTCGCCACTGATTCAGGTTCCAGTGGCTGAATGGTATACGAGCTTGCTAGTCTTGTAACCGTGAAGTTGTGGGTTCGAGACTTGGTGGCGGGTGCGTACTGCTGATCATTCCCAAACTAGGGTGAAACAGCTAGCTGTCCACTACTGACTAGTTTTCAACGGTTCTCTAACTGATATCAGTCCGTGGACAAACTCATAAAAACAAATTTAATCCTTACAAACCAACTTCTGAAGACATTATTATTGATTAAATTTGTCAGGTAATAAAATCGAAGTCATCTAACAAAAACGTGGAATCTCAGGTCAATAAAGTGATCATCAAAGTTTGTCAGAAGCTACAATTATATCTCTCCATTCAAGGACAATTTAGAAATGAGTTTACGTCAGTCTGAAGATTGAGCAAATGGTATTGTGTATTAGGGGAAAGATGAAAGCATTAAACTATATATGTGGACCCGTTGATGAAGAAAAGCTAACTGAAAAGGAACATATATTTCTTTACTGAGTTTATTGTCTATTTTTAATTGACAAATCCTTATTTCGACAGAAAGGCGGCATTTTGGATAGAGTCCATAATCAACTAACTGGGAAAAGGCGTCAGCAAATAGTAATCCACCAATTAGTGAACAATATCGAATGCCGGTATTAGATCAACAGTGAATGTCGCCTACGCACATGTAGGAGGCAAATTATGCATTCTGTGATTGTTAACATTAGTGAATTATTGTTTCAAAGGTAGAATGCTCGCCAACTACGCGACAAGTGGTCTGGGTTCGATTCCTATCCAACAGATGAATTTCTAAACTTCGCTTAGCCGATAATACATTTCGTGGAGAGAGAGGATGTTAGACGTGAGACTGCTAATGTCACCCCGTGAAAAATACCACCGTTACTGAGAATTCAAAGCTCGAACATGAAGTCAAATACCTTGATAAAGTCTCACAGTGTTTGTTATACAGTAATATTTACTGATGACCACGTTTCGAGGACAATTTATTCCTGCTTATAATCATATCAAGGCATTACTCACACACCTTTCTAACTTCGTTTATATAATTCCATTACTTTTTTCATCTCTTGATTTGACTGGTAGTAATACTTTCCATATTTCCGGTATGAGTGATGATTCATTCCTTTTGCGTGTGTTGGGTGTAGATTCCATGAACAAAGATTTAGTAATCAATCTCCCTCCACCTATATTACTTTTTAGAATTTGGACTCTGTCCCACCCTACTGTGTGGTTGTGTGTTAATGCATGCAGTGAAATTGATGAGTTTTTTTTCTCTAAATTACTTATCTTCTCGGGGTCAATCATTTTCACCTTAGCTAAATTCTTATGTTCCGACAATCTGACTAGCCCCGACCTACTAGTTTGACCTATGATGTAGTTGACCTAACTGACAGTCATTGCAAAGTATTTAGTAAATTATATTATTTTGTCTAATTGCGTCAACCTACAGGGCTCTTTAGCCTACAGAGCTTGTCTCTGAGTCATCTTGTAGGTTTGAATGCCATTCTAATTCCTGCTTTATTAAGAATCCTACGCAGGGCCTCAGATGCCCCTTCCTTATATGGTATAACAGTAGATGACTTATATTCTTTCTTACTTGTGTTATCATTAATAGTTTCACGATTATTTTTATTTTGCTTTTGGTCTTTGCTGATCTTCCTAATAAATTTTATAGGATAGTTATTCAACACCAACGCTTCTTCTATCTGTTTTATTTCGTCGTTTAGGTCTTTTCTTGTGCTACTTAGTGCTATGGCTCGGTTTGTTAGACACTTCACTAAGCCTGACTTAACAGTTGACGGATGGGACGAATTAAAGCCTAAATATATATTAGAATGCGTTGGTTTTGTATAAACACTAGTGTATTGTTTGCCTTCTTCTATTCGTTTTGTTTTACAATTTAACATCATGGCTAATTCTCCTAGGAGAATTAGCTATGTTAGATTATATATATATATATATATATATATATATATATATATATATATATATATATATATAATCCTGCTTTATTAACCACATTTATTGCTTGTTTTAAATTTGTATCGGGAAATAAATGTTTTCAAAACGCATTAATCCAACAAATTTACGCTTTTTTTTAAAAAAAACTGAGAAGAAGGCATCAATCAGCCACTTACACTGTAGTTGAATTAAACTATACTTCAGATAATCATCAATATTCTCTGGAACATGTACAATTGTTGGATTCAGGCTGAAACAATCATAGCATACTGGACGATTACTTGTTCTTAACTGCATACTAACATTATTCATTATCAATTCATCTACACAACCAAATAAGCTGTAAATATTTTGCTAAATTTAATTAAATCAAGAAAAAAGAACAAAAGAGAAGTAATGAGTTGAAGATTATTCATTTGATCATCTGATGGCGACAAATGATGGCAGTGATTAAAAGCCTGTCAACAAACAATTCGAATAGATAACTTTAATCCCCCTTGTTCCTAAGTTTGTTAGTAAATTGTATATTTAAACGATTAAACTGGTTAGTGGCATGAATCTGGGTTCGAACCCCGGTAGATGCGCACTGCTGAAGAGTCCCGGACTAGGACGAAACAGTTGTCCAGTACTCCCTGTGGCTGGTTTTCCAGTGGTTCTCTAACTGATGTCAGCTCATAATGAAATCCTTCATACAATAATTCTGCATTTCCCAAACCCTTGATCCTAATTTCCAACCTAATTCTTAAACCAAATTCATAGTTCTGATATGATGACAACTCCTAACCCCAGAAGCATTGATTATTCAAGATCCATTATCAGCTGCTACACATTATCTCTGCAGACCGTCTACTATGATGATAAGACATACTACTTATTGGCTACTTATCAATAGTTGGAAGTCACTCATGTCAACTAGTGGTAGTCGCTAACCAATCATCACACTGTCATGTTTTTTGCTTATTTGCAGCCAAACTGACTTAACTTTGAAGGCCGACTTAGTTGAAATTATCTGAATCCTTATTGGTTAGCTAATATGCAGAATTTATCCTGCATGGGATTAAATTCATCGTTTACCGCTTTATACACTCTGAATTTTTCTTAGATAGTTGAAGGCAAACTTGAACTTAGGTTTCGTGCTTGTTGGCACTCTTCAGCAGGGCATATCTGAAATCTTTAAGAGACTCAAAATGGCCACATTTCAAACTTGACTGATATAATAAGGGATGGACGCGTGATACTTAATGTCCAGTGACAGCACTTCATATAGTTTAGGATGAAAAGTGGCTGTAATTTATTCTGAAATCAAAACAGTATTGAGATCATGATATATGCAGGATCTGTATACAGTTTTTGACGTATATATTCCGCTGACTATTACCATATTTGGGATTTGTATTGAAGATTTTAGACTATACCAAAATTAGTCATTTTGGAGAACAATTATACGAGGTAAAAGTTATGTCAAACCTGTGAACTATTACATATTTTTCAGCACACTAAAGAGCTTATCATCCCACAAAGGTAAGTCAGCAACCAGCTACATGACAACCTTGGCTCAAAACGAGCAGAACTACCCTCCAGTATGTACATTACGATCCTGGTTCCTTTCAGTGATATCCAACTACTCATGTGGTGAAAGCTGTCCCGAATCGGGGTCATGAGTAAAAACAAGACCAAAGCCTAACCTTGAGGAACTCAACAACCAATCACAGCAGACTTAATGTGTGCAAATATGGTTCGCAGGTACATGGCGTAAATTTCTAAGAAACGGTCACAAGCAGTACAGAATAACCCTCGGTAAGAAAACAACCAATTAGCAGATGTTGCTTCTCTGCTGACAATAATGTACATAAAAAACTATGAATATCCCTTGATTTTTTCAATGAACGACCTGTCACCTGGAGTTTGTCTTCTGTCATTACACTCATAATCACATTTTAAATAATCACCAAAGTAAACAATACTATCGGAGATAATATATTAAGAGATTTAAACAATATGAGTAAGAGAAATTATATACAATATATCGATGAAGCTTTTTTGGTAGTCAGAGTTTTAAGTAGGCCGCCTACTTACATGATGATCGTCTATGGTTTGAAGTTGATCGCATATATTGTGATGTGAATAACTTCGTCTCCGCAAATAAACTATCATGAACTAATCACCTAGAGCTGTGTAAGCTGCAAAATGCATATTTGATTCAGAAGTTTTAATTCACAAACAGTTGTTGGATACCTAATCAGAGTGACGCGGTACACTGTCATCTGATCCCTAGTGAGACTGTGGATAAATTCTACTGGAAGAGTTTAAAATTACGCCATACAGATGTCTAGTGCCACCAGCCTCTCCGTTATTGTTCTGAACAATTCCTTTCTTTTTTTCCTTCACGTTCCCCAGTGGAACATAGGGCTTCAAGCTAGTGGCTTGAAGTTTCTGTTGCAGTGTTTATTTTAGAGGATGGGGTTGCTAGCCTCATACTCAACCTTTCCTCTTTACGAGCATTATTTCTGGCTCAGCGAGGTAAAGGAGTGCGTCGGTGGCCGGGGATCGAACCCCGGACAATTTGCATGGTCGGCGAGCGTCCTAACCGCTATACCACCGACTTAAGATTCACACTATGGTACACCCATTGACTGGGTATTGGTTTTCAGGAGAACCAAACACACCCATCCCTGCCTCTTGCGAGACGAGACCGGCATGCAGGATCATCCTGTGGCGCAACCACTCGACAGCCCTCTCCCTCGGTGGACCATGAACAGTTTCACTATGAAGCAATATAGAACCATATGCAGTTGCCGAAAACATATTCTTGCTACTTAATAATATTCAGTAGTATAAATTATATTCTCAAAAATGTTACTTACCGGTTGGCTGAATGGATGCAATGATAAATTAGGCAGTCTAGGCAATCCACCAATGAATACAACCGAGGGCAGATTGAATAAACTGACAGGTGGAAGCCAGAAATGACGATGATCGAATATAAGCTATAAAAAAGCCAAAAATATTTTCAGTTTGAAACATGACAGATTTAAAACAATTACTTCCTTTTTATGAATTTAGATAAAGCAATAAGATGTGATTTGTCTGAATCGTGCAGTGTTGTATTTGCGCAACACATATCGAACAATCCGATCACATGCATACTTTTCATAGGAATATACGTATGGAAATTTATACAAAACCTACCTGGACAGGACAGTATCTTAATTATCACAGTTTCTGCCCTGTTTGGTACAAAAGAGCTTTAGTAAGGTGCCTCTTTAATAGAATCCAACGAATTTGCGCTGAAGACACATTTGATGATTAAAAAGAAAGTTGAAACAAACTCTGGTTGATAATAACTATCCAGACAAGTTCATCAGGAGATATAAAGTAGTCAGAACACCAAGACCCACTCTCCAACTCGCACTTCAGAAAGACATGTACATCAAGCTACCCTATATGGGGCATCAAAGCAGCTTGATAATTAGACAAAGACTGAACACTGCTGTTAAAAAGACTTTTTATGCAGCTAATATCATAATAACAGAGAAAGTGAAGCCAATATATGCATCCACCTAAGCTCTTTGAACATGCGAAATATAATGTCACATCCCATTGTATTTACCAATTTGAATGTACGTATGGACAGACACACATAGGGAGGACTCATCGAAATCTGCAAGTTTGAGCTTACTCCAGAGCTTAATCCTAAAGGGCCGCAGAAACAAATAGAATCCCCAGAACCCACCACTGGTGAGAACAGTTGACCAAGCTCCTCCATTACGGAGAATATTATAGAGACAGGACATAAAATTGACGTTTACACGTTTATAAGCCTATTTATAAAACATGCTTGGGGGAAGGCGTGTCCTAAAGTTTGTGGAAGCCCTAGCTGGCAATTAGAACGTTGAAACCACCTTTATGCATTCAAAGCAAAAATTCGTCATCATATTGAACCTTCCTTGGTAAACTTTGTTTCGGTACCAGGTTAGATGTACTATTACATACCTTCTTTGGTTTAATGATCTTCATTGTTATTTTGACCTTCAATATGGCGGCCTTTTAACTTGACCTAAGTCTATTTTCTCACCTCTTAACTCTAATAATTTCATATATATATATATATATATATATATATATAAGTCCATGCATTACTATAAAATGCTCGTGTGTGGTCCAATTGTTTGAAATGTGTTGCACAAATAAATATTACACGATTCAGACAAATAGTCGCTTTAATCAACTTTAGTCTGACAAAAGCAGAATGTACAAATAAAGTCAATTAACATTTAAAAATTAAATGGTTTTCAATGAGTTTACCTCGTTTACAAATAGTAAATAGTCTGAAGTTATGAATTAGTTAGGGAAGCATTCAAAACTAAGAAGATCTACCTGTGTGTGTTTCATCCTAATTTGTGACTCTTCATAAGTATTCATTTTATTACATACCTTCTTCTAACTCTTATAACCTTGACTTCAGTCACAAGAATGGTATTAAGAAGACGTGCGTCTGTTGTTCAGTGGTATAATGATTGCCAATCACGCTGACCCCAACGCACTACTGAAAGGTGTTTTATCTGGTAGTGATCTCGGTAAACACAGAAGGTTCGAGTGTGAGGCTAGCAACCCAGTCTCGTTGAAAAAAGCGATTGTGGCCTTCTGTTTTACTTAGGACGCAAAGGAAAGAAAGTATGAAGTAAGTGACTAGTTATTCCAGATGGGAAAATTCAGTACAGGGCTTTCTTATGATTTCTTTGGTAAAACTGTGACAAGTTAACACAGTAAGTTGAGGGATATATCAGATACCTCCATCTAATAAAGCTTAGAACAATAATAATGACGAAGGACCACTTGCTAGCTGCTCTTTTGTTTTTTTTCCCTTCACGTTCCCAGTGGAACATAGGGCTCCAAGCTATAGGCTTGAAGATTCCGTAGCAGTGTCGACTTTTTACAGGATGGGATTGCTAGCCTCATGCCCAACCTTTCCTCCTTACCAGTCTCACTACTGGCTTAGCGAGGTAAAGGTGTGCGCCGGCCGAGGCTCGAACCCCGGACCATGTACATGATCGGCGAGCGCCTTAACCGGTGTGCTACCGACGCATACTGCTGCTGCTCTTTTGTAAGAATAGTTTATTAATTGGACGGACAGAAAGAATTAGTAACGAATCCAGCGAACCTACTGCCCAATAAAGATGCTGAGGGAAATGAAGTCGGTTGGGACACACACTGAGGAGACAACTGAGTGACATTCAGTGCCATGCCGTTGAGTGGAACTCCAACAGCAAAAGAAGAGTTGGACGTAGGTCCGAGGGTGACATGGGGGAAGTGATGTGAGGTAAGAATGAAAGCTTATGTCCAAAGGTGAAACCAGCTACAGTAGACTTCAGAGGGGAAAGTAAAATGGAGCTATATTGTGGAACCCCTTTGTTCCACTCGGAACAGAAGGGAATACTTATTATTATTACTATTTCTTTATAAATCAGTTTTGATTTTCCCGTCGTCTGCTAACATTTCGACTCTTAGTACGGACTGTTCGATGATGTCTGAAGAGTAACTTGAAATAATTTCGATGGATGGTGACAGACAGTCACAGGGAGATTAAAAATGACTTAAAAACAAAAGATAACTGAAGCCCGTTGCATAAGAAGCACCCCTCGTTGGCTAAATGGTCTATTGGATATTCCCCTGGTGTTTGACAATGTGGGTACTGCGTTCGATTCCCAGTCAGAACACCATCATCCCCTTGAGGTTTTCAAGTATTGGTTTTGTGGGGATTTTGTCTGATTGGATGGGAGATTTCATCATGAGCTGACATCAGTTAGAGGACCACTGGAAAACCTAGGAGTACTGGACAGCTGTTTCGTCCTAGTTTGAGACTCTTCATCAGTACGAAGAAGACATTGCGAAATGGTCGCGCTATGTCTTGAATTGTCAGAGGTTAGAATTCATGAGCTTGCTATTGGATTTTACTTTGTTGTCATATGGTTTCTCCCTTATGAGTTGATAAGTCTGATTTATAATAATGTATCTGATAATCACTGGCTAAACTCAGTCCCCGGCTTCTAGGAATTCTCCAGTATTTTTGATGTATATAATCAATTCTCAGACTTTTATTTTATCTTATTGGCGCTTACTACTGAGTAAAATTTGAGTAGTAATAGTAATTATATGTTAAATTTTCATGGATTGGTATCAGTTGGAGAATTTTTGGACAACCAAGGACTAATGGGAAACTTTCTCTTCTTTGTTCAGGACTCACCCAATGTAGTTCCGAACCAAGGAACTCCCAAACATAAGAGAGACTTGCATACCATTCAGCCACTGGGACCTGATTCATTGGCCAGTCCATGAATTCTATCTTCTACTAAATTATGATTTTAGCGCGACCACCAGTCACGTGCAACCGGCTTGTTGATGTTAATTTCAGATTTCTCGTTGATTCATTATATTCGATGGAAATATTCACCCTCTTTCGGCATTTCAGCTCCAAGTATTAACACTTCCACATTGTCTGAGGATAAAAATGGTCTTATTTGGTTAGTAATAACTAGCGATCGTATTCAAGATGTACATTTCACCGTATTCAGGATACCTCAGTTGGATGTGATTATGTTCTCATTGAGACTAGAGAGGAGCACCTATTGTTTTAAAACGTAAAGGTGACTAAACGCATAACGTCTTGGGATTTGAGACAACGGGTGTTGGGTCAGAGGTTAGGTGGGAACGTGTGGGCACACTCGGCTAATGAGTCTTGGATAGGGTGAATTGTGCATCCTCGATTCCTCGATCACTAGTCACCATCAACCAAAGAGCATCGAGATTATAGGTTAGAAAAAATATGTATAAAAGCAACATAACCAATGTTAGCAGTAAAGCTTACTTGTAGCCCATTCTCCACACCAGGACCATTTTGTTCTTGAATTAAATCAGCTGACTGGAAGATCAGCTTTAATCGATGCCATGTTGTATCAGAGATTGTCATCAATGGACTAGACCAGAAGAAATTCTTTCTATCAGCATTAATGAACACTTGATTCTTAGACAAGACTATGTAAAGATTGCCTTCATCTGGACCAAAATTGAATACAGCCAGCAGGCTGTAGACATCTTCTTCAACCTCACCTTCAACTATTCCTTCACCATTTATTGCTGTATTAGCCAGCTGGGCGCGGAAACCGATAGTGAATTCAAATGGAGCAGTCCTTTTCGGATTATCAGACAGAAAAGAAGAAAGGAAGGAAGATGTGTATTATGGGACATAATTTTTGAAAATATTCCTTTCCCTCAGTAAATTTAAAACAAGCAACAACTGTGAAAAAAGAGCGGAACTTAAAAAATTTATAAACTTATTCCGTAAATTCGCTAATCCGCTGAATACTCCTTTACGAAAGTTGTTATTCTTTTCAACATTTTAGGGTTAAATACACACTGTAGTGAGAGCTGTCTGCAAGACAAAACTGTCGACAACTATTGACGTCAATGTTTACATCCCGAATCTGGTACATGAGAAAAAACAATAACAGAGCTTAACCTTGAGGAACTCAACAACCAATCACAGGAGACTTAGCGTGTGCAAATATGACTCATAGATATATGGCTTAACTTTCTAAGAAACGGTCACAAGCAGTACAGAATAAGCTTCAGCAAGAAAACAACCAATCAGAAAACGTTGCTTGTCTGCTAAAATAACGAATAATAATGTACATAAAAATCTATAAAGATCTATTAATTTTCTCAGTAGACAATCTATTGCCTGACCCTTGTCTTCTGTCGTTACAATAAAACCACATGAACATTCTTTGACAAGAAGGAACCTTCATGAATGCCCTATACTGAGATATTGTCTAAGGAAGTTATTGTATAACTATCCTAAAGAGGTACAGTTTTCGTTAAATAACGAAGTACATTTTCAAACGGATGGAGTAGCAAAGAGAAGCTCATTAGGGCCCCTGTTTACAGTTAGGTTTTTGGCAAGTTTAAAACACACTACCTGAGTGAACTATATAGAAATATCTGGCACATGTATATCGTAGGTATACAGATCCAAGATAATAAAAACTGAGTAATTGTCAGAAGGAACATGAGTTCCTTCAAGGTTGTAGTATCTACGCCTTGCTGACTGACTGACTGACTGACTGATGAGTGCCAACTAGCACGAAACCTGCAACGTCCCTGCAAGGCTTTCTGACGATTGCCTCTATCCGTCTAATATCATCAAATCAATGTGCACCGTGATGGCTAACTGCCTAGAATGGTGGCCACATTGCAAAACCTGACTGACTGACTGACTGACTGACTGATAGAATTCAGTCTGCACCAAAGAGAGGGATAGACACATCACACTAGTTACTGACTAGTGTCTAATTAAAGTATCATACATTCTACTTCATTTGATTATTGTGAACCATGTTAGATGTAAAGCGATTGTAGAGCGCCTAGTTCAAATTATTATCAAAAGGAGTTATTGTTTTTTTCAAGAAATCTGTTTTGTCGATAGAGAAAGAGAGAAAGACCAGATTTGCAGTATAAAATGATGCCATCATCATTTTATTTCACAGGTTCTAATCAGCTAACTGCAAACCACTACCTGGTGAAATTACAATGGTTGTAAATGATAACAATGAACTCAAGTCAATGAGTGGACGACTCCCATTTATGTACGGTCTATCAAAAATCCATAAGGCCGATGTGACCTTAAGTCCCATACTATCAATGATAAATTCACCATGCCACAAACTAGCTCGATGGCTAGCTGATTCATTGAAGCCAATTCGACAGAAATCTTCAAATCATAGCTTGGATGACACCTTCCAATTTTCTGAAGAAGTCGATCACGTTGACATATCAAATAAACCAATGGTGTCATAGGACACGTGACTGCCTTATTTACAAATGTACCACTGATGGAAACAATAGATATCATTTGTAAATAAATAGATCTATTGGCATTACCGGAGTCAGAGATGAAAAGACTACTGCACAAAAGACATCCAGTTTAGATTCAATAACCAATTCTACCGACAAATTGACGGGGTCACCATGGGTTCACCTCTAGGACTCATTCTAGCAGACATCTTCATGGGCTATCTCGAACAGACGCGACTGAGTGACGCTATCAATGAAACAAACTACTGCCGTCGATACGTCGATGATACTTTTGTTGTTTGTAACGACATCAGTCAGGTATTCGTATTATTTGACCGCCTAAATGAGATCCACCCAAACATTAAATTCACCATGGAATACGAACACAACGATGAGTTCAATTTTCTGGACCTGAATGTAAAAGAAGAACGATGGAACGGTCGAAAATTTCATCTGCAGAAAAGAAACTTGGACTGGACAATACCCTCATTACAATAGCTTCTACCCTATGAGCTATAAGCGGGGATTAGTAAGGACACTGTACTACAGGGCCAGGAAGTTATGTTCGCCTAATAAGGTAGAAGAAGAATTAAGCTTTGTTGAAAAATGCCTTAAGGAAAACGGGTATCCAAAAGGATTTATCCCAAAGTACAGCAAAGAAAGGGATGAGAAAGGGAAATCTCCAACAGTTGAGAAGAAGAAAGTGTTCGTTTGCCTCCCATAAAAAGGAGAAACCGTATCGCGAAAGATTGAAAAGAGGATGAAGGGAGCAATAAAGAGATGCTTCCCTGCAGCCAGTTTGGTGACACTATACAGTACTACATGCTCTATAAGGCAATCGAAACTGGATAAGTACCTTGCTGATGTTACCTCCAACTAAATTTATAAATTTACGTGCACCTTCGGCAGCAAGTACATTGGAAGGACAGAAAGAAGGGTTTCTATCTGGTTATCAGAGCATATTCCAAGAAGCTTATGCTTAAAAGGAAGTAGATATTTACAAAGTGCAATTACCAGACACCTTGAGGATACGGGTTATTTTGTCGAGATTTCCAAATCCTTCAAAATATTAAACATACAAAGGACAGCGAATCTATTACGACTTGCTGAATCAATTGCAATCAAACGTCACAGACCAAACTAATGCACACAGAAAGAGAGTGTGGTCAATCTCTCACTCCGTTGGTAAGCATATCACTTTGATTGCACTGATAAGTCATACACACTAGTGGGCTCAACTCACTAAGCATGTTTTCAAAATGATGAATTTTTCACCTTCTTGAGTTGCCATGTTGACACTGTTTATTAGATTTTTCTGTTCTCTGTCTTCTCTCACCCCCTGTTTTTCTTTCTTTTTCATAGTTTGACAGTATATAAATTGATGGTGATTGACTTAGATTATAATACTTACATTCCAGATGCGTTCACCTTATAATGTCTTCTCTATTACCTTTCAAACAATGAAGTACGAAATGTTATTATTTATAACCAATGTAATTTCAGGTAGGTTATGTACTGCTGCTGAGTGAGTTATTAAAGTTTTCCCCGTCGCCAATTATGTTATGTACTCGTCGAGTAGTTAATAGTCCTGACGCGGAACGAGGGGAATCAGAAGACCACCAGGTTTACGATGATGCTTGTATTTTCCAGACAAGGAAAATAAGTGTCACACAAGTGTGTGAGTGGAAGGGTACTTAAATGTACGAAAACATAAGAACCAGAATAATGTACAAGTGTCTAATACAAAAGTATATATGAAAATGGCTAATACACATGAACCAATAAGATAACGTCTTACCATGATTGGTTGTAATGTCATGTGACAACAAGGTCATACATTGTTAATTTAGTTAGTGGATAGACAAAAGCATAATGTCAGTCATTATGGAATATCGATCCATATACGCGTAGCAAAACATAACAGACTGTCAAAAACAAAACACATACATCATGTGGATACATATCAAGGTAGTTTGCAGTTAGCTGATTAGAACCTGTGAAATAGAATGATGGCATCATTTTATCCTGCAAATCTGGTCTTTCTTTCTTTCTGTATAGAAATTGATCTCAAGAGAACCGAATGTATGAAATCTGTTTTTAAAAATGAATGAGATCACTTACTGATCTTGAATAAGCGTGCCAAGATTACTAATCTCCCAGTACGAATCAGGATACTGATCGAACCAAGCTGTATTTTCTGCATTCTCAGTACAATCCTTCGAAAAAATGTCATTAAACAAATAAAGAAATAAAAAATAAATGAAACAATAAAATCGATATATTGACAGAATAGCGTAAATAAAAACAGGTGTGAGTCCGTCATAATGGCGGCTTGTATATAAAGTTAGTGCATAGCTGATGAAGCATTGCTTTTTATTTAGCAATGGAATGACAGTGGATGTGCAGAGATGAGATTTTAGGGCGAAGTTAAACCGTAGCAGCGAACCCCGGCGGCGGCACGTGATCTCCAACAACCAGGTGGTACAATCAAATCAAAGTATCCCTCCTCTTACGAATTGGCTTAACGAGTTCCACAAAGATCAAGGGTTTAACTACTGTTGTGTGAATAGTGGATTCATTAGAGTTAGTACAACATGGTTTCTTTCTCGGGGAATAGGTTTTTGGGTGAGATTAAACAACGGAACTAGGAATATCAACAAATCTTAAAATGGCTGGAGGGTTTCATCATAAGCTGACATCAATTAGATAACCATTGGAAGTCCTGGGAGTACTGGACAGCTGTTTCGCCATCCTGGTCTGAGACTCTTCATAGGTGCGCAAACAGCTTCTGGTTACAAGGCGAGCTAGCTCGTAGACGATTAAGCCACTGAGACCCGCCAGTCCAATGGCCAGCCCATGAATTCTAACTTCTGCCAATTGACGATGTAGCGCGACCACTTCATATTGTCTTCTTCGATGAGTTACTGCCTCACCTTTAACCTGCTGCACCCTACTGGTCACGACTTCCCACTGGAACCTCCCTGAATATGGCTAGTCACCACTAGTGAGCATCAGACCCCTTTTTCAAGTATTGGTTTTTGTAGGGATTTTGTTTGGTTAGTTGGAGGACTTCATCATGAGCTGACATATTCCATAAACATTTCAGAAAAAAAAACAATTTCGTAACTTTTATTACTCCATAATTGTGATGAATTGTTCGTTGTCAAAAGTAGAGAGTTGGTTGGGTTGGCTGCTATAGTTTAAACTCGTCAAATCTTGGTTAGCATTTCTTAATGGTAAAGCTACACTGGTTAAGCTAATAGTGTATAATAATAAATAGGTATGAATAACACACAAAACCACACACACACACACACGCACGCCTACACACACACTCACGCTATTGCACTCAAAAGTAATCAGTTAAAAGTGCATTAAAAAGATTTTGGTGAATGCTGAAACTTCAGTGACCTTGGTAAGATATAGTCTAACTATCAGTTTTGTTTATAGTAAGCAATCAAAATATCAAACAAACGAAATAATTTTATGATAACAGTGCAATGATGAGTTAGTTGATTAGCAAAACTGGTTCTAATCATTCGTCAAAATGATAGGGTGAAGTGGGTTGTAGAGGGGGTTGAGAAGGCAGTTGGTTCTATTTTTACCATGAACTTTAGGTATCTTCAAGTATTGATTTTTGTAGGGATTTTATTTGATTGGTTACAGGGTTCATCGTGAGTTGACATCAGTTTGAGAGCCATTGGAAAACCAGCCGCAGAGAGTACTGGACAGCCAGCTGTTTCCTCCTAGTTTCGGACTCTTCAGCACCCTAACCCACCCACAGGGATTCGAACCCAGACCTACTGGTTACTAGGCTAGCGATTTCGTAGACCATTAAGCCACTGGGACCCATCGATCCAATCGCTAGCCAATGAATTCTAACTTCTGGCAATTCATGACATAGCGTGACCAGTCCGCAAAGTACTCTTCGATGAGTAAATTAAAGTATCTATTTAACCAATCCTTAGGCTTTACATTAATAAGTAAAATGAATCGAAATGGAATAAACTGTGACGAGCAGCCAAAAAAGTTTGATTTATAGGTCACATCAACAACTCTAGTGCCAGTTCTATCTTCTAGTTAACTGAGAAAACAATGGCGAACTTATTTGGATATTCTTATGTATTATGATTATTATTCCTAAGTAGAAAACAGGACTTCAGGAGACCACTGCTGTTTCACTCTGTTCTGTGTGTGTGTAGTCCTTTTTAGCTGGCTGAACATGCTACTGTCGTGCCTTCGCTCAACTTGTTATTTTCCCATCCAAATTCCAGTCGACGGTCTCCTCAGCGTGTGTCCATTCCATCTCCATTTCCGTCGATTTGTTAAACAGTACATTGCCAGAGGTCGCCTTTGACTTACAATTTACACTCGGCCATCTGATCCTCAGTATTGATCGAAGGTGGAAATTGATTAAAGTCTGCAGTGGCCTGCTGGAAATGCTTTTGATGACGCACCCAGTATATTAAACCTGACCGTCTTCTTCTTCATGCTGATTGCAGCAAATTTCCACACGGATTTCAGATTTATGAAGGCCTGTTTTGCTCTGCTCATCCTAAACGGCCTATGAAATCCTCATCTATACCACCAGTAGTTGAAACGATACTGCTGAGAGGTGGTTTCCTTCGAAGTTCTTCTGTTGACGGTGACTGATGCTTGTTGTAGCTGGTTATACATATATATAATCTTCATCACTGTTAAAAATCGCAATCTTATCCCTTGTACTCAGTGCACCAAGTATCTTTGTTACCTCTATTTTGTCTATGTTTAACCGAGGTCTTGTCATCACTGCCTCTTCTGCTGACTTCTTGGTATTCGCCTGTAGATCTTAAAGTGTGTGAGAAGTTATTTAAAATAATAATAATAATGTGTTCAATAAGAATTATTCTCTAACTATTATTGGATGTATAACTGTAGAACATGAAGAACAGGAAGAAGTTATCGGAAAGAACATCCTTTGTTTCATTTCCCTTGAATCTGCAGTTGACTAATCATGTTAGACATAAGTACTCGGTCTTTCTTGATGTGGCGGCTATTAGTGCGGACATTTCACCGATATGTGAAAATTAAATATGATGTTATCTTGGTTGACGATGACTAGCGGTGGAATCCACGATGCACCCTTCGTTCTATTTGTCACTCATCAACCAGATGTACCTTCAGTCCTCAATAAGTGATGGTGTTCCCACTAGGACTCGAACCTATCACTTAGTGTTTCAAATAATCAACCAAATCTCCTGCTATGGGTATCAGTTTTTTACTAGTTTCAAGTCAATTTCCCGTTGATTGGTCATTACTCAATTGAAATTAGTTGTCTGTATTAATAGATGGCTCCATCAACTAATCGGTAAGGGATTCGAGTCTCAGTGGGCATACTATGATTCACTGGGAAGGCAGGTACATCTACTTGATGAATTTCAAATAGGAAAGTAAGCGCGCCCAATGGATTCCATTGATACTCACTGTTATCTTAAAATAGAGAATCTTTGCTAACCAGTAGTCTTAATGTCAGTAATAAATTTGAGCATTGTGGAATAGATAAAGTATAATTATATTTCACTAGTTTACACGCGTTGATAAGTTTTTTGTTAATGGTAATATTTCGAGCAAAATTACTGGCCGTGATCACACCAACTGTTGGAATTGTTTTGCTTTTTAATTCACACATTTAGGATTTGTACTCATTTATATAGTTCTTTTTTTTTTGTTTTGTCCATTCATTCTTGTGTAGGTTGTTGACGGTTGTACTGCCGAGTTACCCTTGTAACATGTATCCGGTGTGATCTTAATGAATGTAGATTCCGTCGTTATTAGTGTCTCTTTCCATTTAATGTTCATATTTGATTTCAGAATACAAACATTGTTCCAACCGATGTTGTGGTTTTTGTCCCATGATACGTGTACAGCTATAGACGAATGTTTTTTCTAAATTGTTGTAAACTTGTATTCCTGTGGAATAACCTTTAATCAGGCGTTTATGTGCATTCACTCTTATTTTGAATGATGGTCTGGACTTTTGACTTACATTATTTAGTCGGACACTCAACACAAGATATTTTGTAGATGACATTACTACTTTTATCCATCATTTTTATTGGATCTATCAGTTGATTTATTTTATTTTTAATTGGATTCGTCGGTTTAAATTTCGTGGGAATCCCAATATTTTTGAGGTTTCCTTGAATTTCGCCTCTGATGTACCATTTTTTATATGGTATTGTGATTGTTCTTTGCCTTCCTCCTTCTCGTTATTCTCTGGTTTTACCCTCTTTTTTTTCTATTGTCTTTGATGAATTATTTTGGGTAGTTGTTGCTGAGTAACATCTTGAACAGGACATACATTTCTTTTCAAGTATTGGTTTTTGTAGGGATTTTGTTTGATTGCATGGAGGATTTAATCATGAGCTGACATCAGTTAGAGAACCACTGGAAAACCAGACACAGGGAGTACTGGACTGCTGTTTCGTCCTAGTTTGGGACTCCTCATCAGTACGCATCCACCGGATTCGAACCCAGGACCTTCTGGTTACAAGGCGAGCTCGCAAACTAGGACGAAACATCTGTCCAGTACTCCCAGGTTTTCCAGTGGTTCTCTAACTGATGTCAGCTCATGATTAAATCCTCCATGGAATCAAACAAAATCCCTACAAAAACCAATACTTGAAAATTCATCTGATTCTCACTAGTGACTGGCCCTATTCAGGCAGTTAACCTGGGGTTCTAGTGGGAAGCCGTGACCAGTAGGGTACAGCAGGTCGAAGATGAGGCAGTAACTCATCGAAGAAGACAATATGAAGTGGTCGCGCTATGTCGTGAACTGGCAGAAGTTAGAATTCAAGGACCATTGGATCCTCCATGCAATATATTTCTTTTCTCTGGTCATTTGATGTTGTTGCAAATCTCCGTATTCTATCTTCAAGACCTTGTAATACTCCTCGCTTTACCGTGAGTGGATGAGCTGAGTGAGAGAAAGTCAAGGAATCTCCCAGATTGTCTGGTTTTTCTATATAGCGTCGTTTATATGCTACCATCTATAGGTCTCTGTAATTTGCAGTCTAACAAAGGCAGTTCCCTTATTTTATTCCTTTTTCTATAGTCAGCTTTATTTAGTCGATATGACTGTTAATGTGTGTGAGAAGAATTTCTCAACATCATTCTTTTTCATAATTACTGTGTCGTCTACATATCTCGTTCCACAAGTAGTCATTTAAAAACT